TCTCTCTCTCTCTCTCTCTCTCTCTCAAAAATAAACAAACGTTACAAAAAATTAAAAAAACAAAAACAAAGATGAACATATGGGAGGGGAGAAAGAGAGAGGGAAACAAACCATGAGAGACTCAAACTGAGGGTTGATGGAAAGAGGTCGGTGGGGGGATGGGCACCTGTGATGAGCACCAGGTGCCATATGCAAGTGACGAATCACTGCATTCTATTCCTGAAACTAATATTGCATTATATGTTAACTAACTAGAATTTATATAGAAATTTGAAAAGAAAAAAAATTTGCAAATTTAAAAAACAAAAACAAAAAACAGAAGCCCTACTAGAACCTTGTTCCAAATCGTATGTTCCCAGATGGCAAACGTCATAAGTAGTTCTTTGTAACCTGAACCAAGTAAGAAACGAATCAATGAACCAAGTAAACAAGTACACAGTGCCATAATGGGTTTAACTCCGCAGATCCAGGTCGATCCAGATCCAATTAGGCATGTTCCAAACAAGGGTTGGGCCCCTGACCAGCTCCTGGGAGAATATCCTGTCTGATGAGAGCGTCTTTGTGGTCACCTGGGAAGCTTGGGCCATGCCGGACAGACAACTCTAACAACATGACTTACAGGGAGGGCCGTGGGCCATGAGGTACCAACTTGACCTCTGGAGGGGCTGGATACAGAGTAACTGAGGTCAGCCATGCAGGCAGCTCCATTCCTTGGCTATCTGACCAACCCCTCTATAAAATCCCTGGAAACCAAGGCTCAGTGAGCTTCCTTGGTTGGCAACACGCGGTCACACATCACTTGTGGGAGATTTAAGTGCCGTCCCTAGGACTGCAAGGAGAGGACATCTGGGGGCTCGTGCCGGGTCTCCTGTGCACCTGCTCCCTCACTGACTTTATCCATTCACTTTGATCAACAGCAACCACAAGTGTGACAGCTCTTCTGGGCAGAGGGCTGTTCTAGCCTATCACTGACCCTGAGCATGGAGGTGGGGACGTAGATGCAGCAGCCGTGATGGGTACGGCCACTACTGTGAGGACAGCATGGCTTGGCCGGCACCTCCAGAGTAGAATCCCCGGAGGCCCTGCCTACGAGCACATCTTTTCTTTATCAAACACTGTAAGGTCTCATTTAGGAACAGAAGACAGCCAGTTTCCGGCTGGCCAGTCCAACGGCTAAAGAACTCTCAGAACCAACACCATTTCCCTCCCTACAAGGTATTAATTCAGTTCTTTCTAGAGCCAAGGATGCTGAGGAAGGGAGGAACTATTCCAGTGCTGTCCACCCTGCTGGTGTCCTTTTCCTGTGACAGTTGTTTAAAAGCCTGAACTTACATGAGAGACTATACCTGTTCTTCTTTCTTTTCCTAAGAAAGATTCCTGGAGCGGGAGCTGCCCTGTCGGCCATCCTAACCCCAGGTTAGAAAAGTGCGTTAGTGTAGACGTGCATGAGTCACAATCTACTCCAGGGGAAAGTAATGAGGATGATTCAAGTCAACTGAGCGGACCAAGATGCGGTCAGAGTCAGGGCTGGGAAGGGAGAGGAGAGAGCCTTGTGCATTTCCCCACTTGGAATGAAGGCATCTGTAATACCCAAAAGACAGGGAAATTTCTTCTTTGAATAAGTTGAAAACTAACTGGATTGACGGCTCATTTGAATAAAAAAGACATTTGAAATGCATAAAAAACCACTGTGATGGCCTTCCTGCACTGAGCGGAGACCCATGTGAGGAGTCTGGCCTCAGTTTTCAAACACGATGAAAAATTAGGGGAGTTAGCACTTATCCAGGGATGTGAACGGAAATGTCCCGACAGTGAATGGGCCGATTTCCTTTCTCTGAAGGTTAGCCATACACAATTCTAAGGATGGAAAAATATGGTGTGTGCCTACTTGGGAGTCTCACCTCTGGAGACAAGGAAGAAATGGGCCCCCAACAAAGCACACCGTCTAACTGGATTTGGGCTCTGCAGCAGCACAGGAGCCGAGCTAAGCCTCCTCTGTCAACAGGCTTCCTTCCCCCGGCTGCCACGTCATTCCCTGATGTGGAGCACCTGCCATCTCAGAAAGCCCAGAAGAAGAACTCCGGGCCACAGCTCAAGAGCAACCCTCACTGGGGCATCTGAAAAGGTCAGGTACAATTCTGAGACTCCGTGTCAGCCAGAGACCAGAGACAAGAGAGGCCTTTCTCAGATGAAGGCTTTCCCACAGACACCACTTACCCTCAGGGATGGCAAAAAACTATTTCCTTGTTAAAACACAAGCAAACAAAAGAACAAGGCGTAGAAATGAACCAATAAACCAAGTGAGTGCGTGCAATGAAGGGTTAACTCAGCAGGCCTGGACTGTACAGGGCTAGCGCCTGCCCAGCTCCTGGGAGGTCATCTCTGAGCCCCAGCTGCACAAGCCAGTGTCCTGAACACAAGAGAAGATACAAATACGATGGCTCAAACCACTTAAAAACCTCTGTTTAGGCATACCCAGAAAAAGGCCCTTTTTATTTGGGTAAGTTTATAAATCTTATCAAGTATGAAATGTAAAGTTTACAGGTCTAGAATTGAAATTCCAGATACAAGCCAGATGAGTATCGCACACCAAGAAAGCCACGATGGGTCAGGGCACTTGGGTTGTTCAGTTGGTTTTAAGAGTCTGACTCAGTCTCAGCTCAGGCCATGATCTCACAGTTCGTGGGTTTGAGCCCCATGTCGGTCTGTTAGTGCAGAGTCTGCTTGGGATTCTCATTCATGCTCGATCTCTCCCTCTCAAAATTAAATAAATATTTTTAAAAAATACAAAGGAAAAAGACAAAGAAAACCATGATGGGTCTTGTCTTCTTTGCAAGAGAAGCTGCCCTGGGGCGCACTACGGCTGCGGGAACAGGACCATCACGTAGCACTTGCTGAAGGCGAAGCCGGTGCAGAAACCGGCCCTAGCTGTGGCACTGCTGTAGCACATGTGGGCTCACCTTCACACGCAAGCTGAATGTGGAGCTCCCTTTGATGCCAAGAAGCAAAATGCTCCTCGAGACCCTGGTGAGGTGTTAAAAGGACACAGAAGCCAACGCTCACCAGCCAAGCTGTCTCCACTTAAGCATCAGAAGCAAATACAAACTATATTTGTAACAAGCTATAGCTACAAAAAGCATGCTGATAAAAGAAAACGTGTGTGTGAAGCACTTCACTTAGGTCATAAAATTTGAGTCATTATAAAAATGAATTCTGGTTTGAACTGTAACTAGTGACACAAGTAAATGATCAACAGTAAGATTATTAAGCTTTTCTTTAGCAGGTGCACAGTCTTCAACACAAGATTTGTTGAATTTGTAATTTGTACAAATTTGATTTGTAATTCTGGGGCTGAGAGATTATCCCATCATAGCGGAATTTAATAATGTGATATTTTGGGGGAGTGGCAGGGGACTGAAATCTGATGCGATTTCCTAGCACTGTGTGTGCTGGGGGAAGGGCGGGGAGGGCAGGGAGAGAGGGAGACGGAGGCCTTTGGCAACGAGGAAGTCACAAAGCACTGAAGAGTCTCACCGTCTGCCTGGTCACCACCATGACAGGAACCAGGGAGCCTGCAAACCACCCCCCTCCACATAGACCTTCCCCATCTCTGTAGCCACACCTCCTCTCCCACCAGTCTGGTCTCCCTGCACCTCTTCTGGCCTCCATGCTGCAATCTTTCTTTGACAGTAGCCTCAGGGTTCCTTTCTGGCACCCACATCTGTGATGCCCATAGTTCAAGTCCAAACTCCTTCCCTGGCTGTCACCCCACAACCTGTCTAGCCCCCGCCTGGCACTCTCATCTTCTGTACTCCAGCCCAAATGAATGGCAAGGTGTGGTCAAATGACTGGCTCTGGCCAGTGGGGCGTGGAACAGACTGGTGGGTTCCCTCTTACAAGGACCACACATTTCCTGTTGTCTAATACCTTCTGCCTTCATCCTGGCTGGGGATGGTGAAGATTGGAGCAGCTGCCTCAGACCCAGAGAGTGTGGAGGTCAGCAGAGGTAACCCCTCATATAGGACCCACCTAGCTCTGAACTGTTGTAAGAAAATTATCTTACATAAGCCACTGTATTTGGGGGTCTTTATTACGGCATCTTTGCCCAAATCCTAAAAGACATGAACTTATCACAGCACCTATGCGATCATGGGATTGCCCATCTCCCTCTCTCCACTGTCAGTCTCTGAAGGTCTCTGGGGAGTGAAACTGTCTTAGTCTCTTTTGGTGTCCCTGATCCCCAGAGAAAGAATTAGCACAGAGCAAGGGTGTGCAAAACATTGCCTAATAAGTGAATGAGTGAACACACACTCCGTTGTGCCCACCAATATCCAACTCATTCGGGACCTGGGTGTCTGTTGAGATTCTAGGAGATTCCAGACCAATCTAGGAAAGCAGCTGACCCACCTGTCACCTCTGCCAATACAGAGCTCAGAGCCTTCCCGGCACCATTACCTCATCCTTCAGCTGAGCCAGGAAGAGGGGCAAGAGGTGCTCAATGGTATTGTCTTTGCCCAGGATGGGGGAGAGGCCCATGATGACGGAGGCCAAGGCTGACTTCACGTGTTGGTTGGCATCTGACACCAGCTCCTGGGGGGGACAGGGAAAGGGGAGCCACAGGATCAGGACAACCCCCGCGGCAGCAAATGGCTAAGCAGACTCCCACTTCCTAAGAGGCCTGAGCCATGGCCTGCTTTTGCCCATCTCCCGCATGGAGCAGGGACGGTTTAGGGCACGAAGGTACACGGCAGTCTCTTACCTGTCCCACCTGCTTAGAGTTCCATGTTCCCAGTAGCCTCCACCCAATCCCAAGGCTCTTGGGACTTTTGAGAGGAAGCACTCCCACCTCCAAGCTCGGCCCCAAGCTTCAGATTCTGCCTGCACTCAGGAAACCCAACTGCTTCCAACCCAAGTCTGCCTGGCCCCAGAAGGCTGGGGACTATCTGCGTCTGGATGTCCATAAAGCCCCATCTCCATCCCTTTAGCAGACTCAGATCTCCCCTAATCCTCCCACCAAACTCCATTACCTTGATGCAGGGTAGTATCTGTGTCATGATCACATTCTCCCGACAGTCGGCTGAGAGATTTTCACAGAATTCTGTGGAAGAAGAAGGGAGGCAGAAGAAGGGAGGCAGAAGAAGGTGAAACCTGACATCTGGTTCTACCTCAAACCCCTCAGACACCCATCCATTTGCTGTGTTCTGGTCGCCAGCACCAACCTTTGACCTTGTGGGAGGCTGCGGCCCTCACCTCGGCCTCACAGTCTTTCATCAGGTTCTGGAAGGCGGGGACCAGGTCTGTCTTGGTGATCTCAGGCCCCACTGCTTTCTGGAGCTGCAGACAGAAAGCAGGGGCTGTGAGACAGCTGGGCAGGTACTCTGGGCAATTGAGACCAGAATCAAAGTTCAAGGCACCAGAAGTGAGGGTAAGAGTGCACCCTTAGAATCACTGCTGAGATCTAATCCCAGCACCACAGAGTGAGCCGGGCCAAGTCTCCAAGCCTCTCTGAACCCGTTTCCTTAAAAGCAAAATGAGGGCCATGAGACTACCTATCACACAGTGTTACTGTCTGCATTAAGAATGGTAACACATCTCTACCACTCAAGCTATTTGGGGTGGGGTTTTCTCCCCCCACCAAAAAACATTCCAATCATGTGATGGCTCTTGCTTTTTAATTCATATTCATCTGTATTTTTCAAATTACAAGATGAATTATTTTTCTAATGAAAATAAATGTATACACATTAAGGGGGAAGAAGGCCTGCTAGGCCCTGCCTATGCCCTGACTCTTGAAGCCCTAGGAGGAAGCAGGACAGTTCATGACCAAGAGAGGGACAGACAAAAACTCTGAAGGGCCTAATGCTACCTGGAACAAATGTTGCCTCTTCTCCACGTAACAGGTATTTACTGAGGACCTCTTGCAGGCCGAGCGCTGCTCAAACAGTGTTAAGATCCCTGCCTTTGCTGAGCTTTTACCTAAAACCCAGTGTGATCCAGTCCATGCTGTCCAGAAGCCAAGGACAGAATTGTTTTTAACCATGGTGCTGAGCCTCCAGGGTGCGGCCACATGCTAACATTTTCACGGGGAACATGGATGGTCCCGGGAAATATTATCCGGAGGCTCCCAGTCCTTCCACAAACACACTTACAGGAACGGGGAGCCATGGGGTGGAGTGCACCCAAGGTCAGACCCTGAGCCTCTCTCTGGCTTTCCCTCACACGGGGCCCCCAAGAGTGAGCCCCAAATGCTGCCCCTCGCACTGGCTCTGGCCTCCCAGGGCCCTGTGTGCATGCTGTCCTTTTGCTGGGACACAGTTCCTATCCCAGCTCCCACCCATCTTCTAGAACCAGCTGCAGCACCACCTCCTATTCTCAGTGCGTCATGCGTGTCTGTCGGCCTGGGCACCGTTTCCCTCTACCTCAGTAGACCTTCCCCTTCAGACTGCCTGCCCCGTGGAGGCCAGGAATGCGAATTCACTGGATCCCCAGCACCCAGAAAAGAGCTGGTGGTCAACAAACATGATGGTGGGAAAAGCAAACTTGGGTCTCCATGGAAAGAGCACTGTCCTCAGAGTCAGAGACACTGGATCTTGTCCCTGTTCTGTCTGCCCAGTGGGGTCATTCTGACCCAAGTTTTGAGCTGTTCTATGGGCTGAAGTGTCCTAACCCCTCACTATCTCAGAAAGTTGACTGCATTTGAAGACAGGATTTTTAAAGAGGTTATTAAGGTGGCCCTAATCCAAAATTACCAGAATCCTTATAAGAGGTTAGGACACAGGCATGCACAACGGGGAGACCATGCAAAGACACAGGAAAAGACCATCTACAAGCCGAGGAAAGAAGCCTCAGATTAACCACCCCAGAGGACACCTTGATTTCAAACCTCCGGCACCCAGGAACAGTGAGGGAATAAAGTACCGCCCTGTCTGTGGTACTTTGTTATGGCAGCCCCCAAAACTAATACAGGCTACGCCTTCCCTTTTTAAAAGGACAGAGTTCAATTAGGTCGAGTACACAGGTACTACCGTTTCTCTGCTCTTATGGCTCTCCACAGAACCTGAACTTGGCTTCAGAATCCTTCCCAACACAGCACTTCAAGTTGCCAGTATTACTCAACCGGGTTGGCCATGTGAAAGGAGACCCAGCCAGATGATCAGAGATCTTCCTGCTCAAATACCTGATGACTCCATTGGATTTAACTAAAACCCCAGCTCCTGTATGTGGCCCCGCTCCCTCCCCTCTGAGGGCCTCAGTTTCCCCATCTGTGAGACGTCAACAGTCCCCACTCACCTCTGTGAACTTGTCGGCCACCATGTACCGGACACGCCAGGACTTGTCCTCGGCAGCCTGGCGCAGGGTGGGCATCACCAGGGCCTCCAGATCCTCCTGGGGCAGGAGCTGGGCGATGTTCACACACGCCTCTACCGCCAGCAGCCGCACCGAGTCCTGGGGAGAGGATTGGAGCAGGGAGAGGGAGGCAGAGGCCCGTTAGCTCTGGGATTCCTTGTAGACACGGTTTGGAGGGGGAGGAGGCTGGGGAGCACCCACCTGCTCGTCAGAGGCCAGGTTGGAAAACATGGGGATGATCTCACTCTTGACGTTGTCCAGCTCCAGCACCTTGGCAAACTCCCCCAGCTTGGAGGCTGCGGCCCGCCGCACCATGGGGGTGTCATCTGAGCACAGGTTCCGGAAGTACCTGGGGGTTGGAAACGGGGCTCAGGAGGAGGAATCCCTAGATCTCACAGCAGTATACAGTGAAAACAGCAGCTGACTTTGCCTGCATGACCCCGGGCAAGTCAGGACCCCTCTCCCGAGTGTTCCCAGGCCTACAAAATGGAGCTGACGGCGATACTTCCTACCACACAGGGTGATAAGAAGTTTAAATGATAATGTGGGTGAAAGCAGAGCAGTCAGTCTGCACATCGTTAAGTTCCAGTGCATGGAAGGTGATTATATCATTATGACCATATAAAGCTGTTGAGCTAAGAGGCTGGTCAGGGGCCCCTCAAAGGTTTTACTTTTCAGGAGCGACTGCTCCAATTAGAGATGCATGGGGGAAGCATACACACGTGTACACACACACACACACACACACACACGAAGCACGTGTGGCTAGCTGTAAATCAGTATGCTGTCATGTAAGAGCTCAGGGCCTGAGCTTGCTCAAGGACAGGAACACATAGTAATGAGAGATTTTAATCCAATTAGAAGCATTTTTGTGAACTGTTCCAGGAGACTCTTACATACAAGAAATTCTCTGGGGTATCAAGACTAAGGGAGGAGGGTGGAGGAGGCAGCCAAACTGAGCCAGCGTATGTGTGAAGGCTCTGGACCTAGGGCAGGCAAAGACAGCATCACACAGCACGGGTGGAGTGCTTCTATGAGTCAGATTCCATTCTAAGCACTTTGTACGTGGTAATTCTTGTAAATCCTTACACACCCAACAGGAGGAAGGAGCTCTCATTTCTTCATTTCCTAAGTGAGCATGAGGCTGTGTCCGGACCAGGCCTGGGGACACCAGCTCTCAGGGGCGGGTGGGGGAGGGGGGCTGAGCTGACAGAAGGGGTCCACGCTAAGGGCGAGGCTGGGACTCACTGTCGAAGTTCTGCCTTGACGGCGCTGGACACACGGGGGTAGCAGACAGAGAAGAGGCCACACGCTGAGGTGCGGGAGGTGAACCAGTCACCACCCGCCAGCCGCTTCACCAGCGGCACGAAGTGGGCCTCGAGGTCAGAGGGCGAGTGTTCATGTGAGATGGCCCGCAAAGACTCCACCGCTTTGTCCCGCACCACTGTCTCCTCCACCGTGGCCAGCGACTCCAGGGGCGGCTGTGGCAGAGAGTACAAGGTCACTGCAGGGTCCCTCCCCACCGCCCCAGCCTCAAGCCCCGCCTCATGCCGCTCGCGCATCTCCTCCAAGGCCCTTGAGGCTTCGGTGAAAGCCACAGACCTCACATTTATACCCATCACTTTCTGAGCAGGTGGCCATAGTTGTCATTAGCTCTCAAAGTGCAGGGATAGTCACAGATGTTGACTGAACGTCTATCTGCTGGGTGTCCTAAACAGGGCCATTGCATCGCACAACTTAGGATGGGGGGAGGGGACAATGCTGGCTCTAACTCACTGAAGCCTATGAAGTAGGTCCCATGACTGTCTTCATTTTACAGAAGAGGAAACTGAGGCACTGACAAGCTAAATCACTTACCCATGCTAGCTAGCTACAAGCCAGGACCCAAACCGGGCCACCAGGCTCCTGAGCTTACACAGACAGAAAGTAGAAAGCACGGCTGTGGTTTCTGTTAGACGACTGCCCCCAGCAGCTCACATCACTGGGAACCTGGGCCCGGGGACCGTAAAGCCTGGAGGGGGCAAGCTCCTTTAGGGATGTCTGACTGGCTCATCCCTATGTCCCCAGAGCCCAGCAGAGCTCCTCGGATAGGGTGGGAACTTGGCAATTACTGACCAGATGAAGGGAGACTTAAGTGACTCTAGTCTGTGCAGATAAAGGTGTGGAGGCCTGCAGTTTAAAGTCCAGTGTACTTGGACACATGTCAAAGTCAGGAAGACATCATAAATGGAAATGCCTCCAGGGCCCGGGAAGGCAACAGAATGAAATAAGGAGCAAAGATGATGGGCGGGAGGAGGGAAAGCGGCAGAGCTGGGGAGGGCGGCTTCATCAACTAGCTTGGCAGGAAAACACAGGTGGTAAAAGCATATCTATTGTCCTCCAAAAGCAGCCGAAAGGGCCAGGTGTTTACACGTCAAACATCTCATTCAACACATGGTACCCCACGGATGAATCTTGAAGACCTTCTGCCTAGCAAAACAGGGCAGTCAGAAAAGGCCATGTGTTGTAGGATTCCTTTATATGCAGACCCTAGAGTCACCAGATTCATGAGACAGAAAGTACAAAGGAGGGTCCCAGGGGCAGGGGAAGAGGGGACATGGGGAGATGCTGGTTAATGGGGACAATTTCGGTTTTGGAAGAGGACAGATGGTGGTGATGGCTGCACCACAATGTGAATATATTCCATGCCACAAAACTGTACAGTTAAAAATGGCTAAATTTGTAAATTTCATATATATTCTACCACAATAAAAACAAAAATTTAAAAATCTCATTTACGAAGACTGGCAATGATTCAAAAGGAAAATGTAATGCTGTTCCAGCCTGGGGGGCACCAGTCTGTGGCCTCTGTCATAAAGCCAGGCTATCGCAGGGTTTCTGGTTCTGGACCAGCTCAGAGCGTGGCTGAAGGTGGTATCACTGGGCTGCTGCAGGGGCTGGGTTCCTCTTATCCTGGTTTTCTTGCTCCCCCCCGGCTGGCACATGGGAGGTCCTCAATCAGTATTTGCCGGGTTCAGTATTTACCTCAATCAGTATTTACCTGTTCCACTCAGAGAAAAACCTGTCACTAGAACAGAGGCCTGGGGACCAAGGCCAGGCGGTTCATATGTCATGCAAGGGTCTCTGCCCAGTGGGTTGCCGAAGGCAGTGGTTGTCACAGCGAGGTCTGGACCACCCACAACAGGATCACTCAGGAGGCCTAGCCCAGCACAGGCCGTAAGAATATCAGACCATAAGAATATCCTGGGGCCCAGGAAGGTGTGTGGTTAGGAAACTCAGACAATGTTTTCCCATGATGAGCTGTACCGCGGGGCCTCTCTAAAAGGAGAGAGGGTGGAGCTCTCAAATCCAGAGAACATGCAGGGGAGGGGAGAGGTGTGAATCTCCTAAAATCACTGTACTTTTATGAGAGGGTCTAGAGTTTTCATCGGATTTTCAAAGGGACCCATAAATCCAAAAGGGTTAAGAGGTGATGATACAGAATCAATCCTCGTGCTATAACTACACGGGTCCCTATGAAATTAATTCCATTTCACCTCTGCAGAGAACAAGGGCTCGGACACACCTCTGGGTTCCCAGGACCCATAGCTGGTACTCATGTTTGTGGAATGAACAAACTGCACAACAGCCATTTTCCATCGCTCTTTAATTGTCAAAATCCAGACTCACTGCCACCTCCTCCAGGAGGACTTCCTGGACAGCTCCCCCACCCCATCTGAAACAGGTTAGGTGCCTCCTCTGGGCTCTAAGCTCCCCCAGCTTCCCTCTTGTGCAGCTCCAGTCAGCCTGTGGAGCAACCGAGAGCCCTTGGAGGGTAGCAGAGAGGAGTGGCAATGGTTAAGAGGCAGAGGCCTAGGTTCAAATCCTGACTCTGTCTCTTCTCAGCTCAGGCAATCCACCTAACCAGACATGGAGCCTCAGTTTCCTCATCTGTGAACTGGGGCTAGCACCAGCGTGCATCTCCTAGGGTCGCTAGGGGAGGTGACAGGTGACTGTGCAGAAGGCACCTGCAGGCACCAAGGAGCACCAGCATTTGGACCTGACTGGCCTTTGCTGGTGCTTGGGGGTTCTGAGTGTTCCGCGGCCCAGGGCCCTGAGGACGTGCCTGCCAGCTCATGTGAACACCAGAACAGCAGCCCCAGAGGACATGTGACTCTCCCCCAGAAGAAGTATGGGATGACCCTGACATGGCAGGGAAAGAACCTCAGGGTTCCAGCCCCGCTCCCCAGTGGGGAGGCCCACGCCAGATGAGGGCCCTGGGCCCCTTGTTGAAGCTATGGGGTGCGTGTTTTCTGTTCCTAAGTCCTCAGAGACGCTGCTGAAAGCTATACATTCTCTCCTCAGAAAAACTGCCAGGGGTTGCAGAAACTTCCGTGGAATTCAAGGGACTCCTTTTAGGCTGGTCCCCAGACCTCCTCATGTTCCTGTTAAATGACCCTAATCTATGCAAAATGTATGAAATGACCTCATTTGCATACAATTTTCTGTGTGTACATACACGTAAATTATACACGTACACACAGACGAAAGCTGACAGACCAAAATTTAATGACAATTATCAAATTTCTTCAGACGTACCTCTCCTTGGAAGAAAAATTACTGCATCTGCTCAAATCCCAAACTCCCCAGTTTTAAGAAGTGTCATTATTGCATACACTACTAAAAGGAAGAAAGGCTAATAAAAAATTTAAGACATCATTAAGGGCAGATGCCCAAGTATACAACTGTGTCTTTACGAACCATGACAGACAAAATTCCTGGGGGTGGGGTGGAGGCGGGGGCAGCAGTGGCCCAAGGCTCTGAGGGGTGGTGGGAACCAAAGGACTGGGAACCCCCAAGGCTCCTCCCTCCCGGGTCGCAGGACCAGAGTCCTCCCTTCTCTTCTCACAAACAGCAGTTACTATTAGTATCTAAACCCCTTCTGTGTCCCCAGATGCCACCAAGCACGGGGGTGCTCACGCAGGTTCCTGGAATCCCAGTTCAGCCACTTAACACCCGTGAGGCCTTGGCCAAGATGCTTAACCTCTTGGCGTGCCCAGTGGCTCATCTACAAAAAGGGAACTGTCCCTACCCCAAAGGGTGGACATCACCTCAGGACACCATAATGACACTGACAGTGAACACCTGATAGTACTTACCACATGCCAAGGGCTTAAATCAATTATAAAGACAGGTTTTAAGGACTCCCATTTGATAGATAAAGTATAACGCAGAGAGGTTAAGTAACTCTTACAAGTCACACAGCAAATAAGCGGTAGAACTCAGATTGTCTCCAAGGGTGGGACCTGCCACTGCTCAGGCAAGTGTCCAGCTAACAGTAAGGCAAACAAGTACGTTTTGGGTACTGCTGACTTAAATGCCATTACTGACTTACTGCATTAAAGAAAATGTCCAAAGCCTGCCTGTTCCTAGAAGGTGGCCCCCGGCCTCTGCTGTATTCTTCCCACCCTGCTCCTGCCAGGGCCACGGGTCTGATCCCAAGGGGAGGGCAAGGGGACCACCCTGCCTCCCAGACTCACCAGCAGGCAGTGCACGTACTCGGGGCCTCCCACCAGAGTGGTGAAGGTGCCCAGCTGTTCCGCCAGGGCCAAGAGGACCTCATCCTCATCGTAGATGGTGTCTGTGGAACCAAGACAGACTCCGTTACAGTCCCGCCCCAAGTCTGACCCCAGCGCCTCAGTGACCCAAGCTGGGAACAAACAGGCTCCGTTCTGCATCCTCAAACCATCAGCACTCAGCTTCCCCACTTTCCACCTGGGCTGGCGCGGACACTGGGGCACAGGCTTGGGTCAGAGGACAGAGCACCAAAGTCCCGCTTCTGTCATTTACGAGGTGAGGGACCCTGGGGAAGTGAGACCACTCTGCGAGCCCATTACTACCCCTGTAAGATGGTGCTAGCCCACCTCTCACCAAGAGTCAATGAGGAGCAAACAAGACCATGCAACCAGAGCGCAGAACCCGAGACATGGGGGCTTCTCGCTTCGGTCCAGATTCTACCCTCAGCACTGCCCTCTCTGCCAAGAGCTCATCTTTCTCTTGAGCCTGAGAAATTCTTCTCTGTCCTTCAAGACTCAGTTCAGCTACTATTTCTTGGAAGCTTTCTTGACCAGACCAGAGCACATCCCTTCTCCACACTCCCCCCCAACTTCAAGCCACCTTGATCACAGTCCTTATGTTAAGGGTCTAGGACTGGCTCCTCTCCGTACCCCAGTTTCTGCCAGAGACGAGCACCGCAGGAGCTCAGCCCAGGTTTGCTGAGAGGACAGATGACCGTGTGAAGACAGAGCTGCTGTGTCCTCACGTTCAACCCAAAGACCTTTGTCCTCAACTGCTGACCTCTGTGGCAGAAGACGTTTTCGGCAGGAACTGCTCACCTCTGTGACAGAAGAAGCTAATACCCCTGGCACCTATGCTAGCATTTTGACTTCCTGAGATTCAGCCAAGCATACAGCAACCCAGCCAGACATCTTGAGGTTCCCGCGCAGCTGGCACGCCAAGTGACCATGCTCGGGCCAACGGGGTGTGAGACGAGTGGTCGGTTCCACTCCGGGTCGCTTCCTCATCTCCTCCCTCTCTGCTCACGGCGCTCTGTCATCACATGCTCATCTTGTGCTGGGTTCTCTGCTCTACTGCTGGCTGGGGGGTGATGGGGTGGTGGTGGTAAGTCACCTCACCTCTGAGCCTGTCTTCTCACCCCCACACCCCAGCAGAGCTGTTGTGAGACCCAAGCGAAGAGGTGCTTTCTTCGAGGAGCTCAGCACGGGGCCTGGCCCGAGTCAGGACTTCCGTAAATGCAGGCCACAGTGGCTCCGGGCCCACCAGGCGCTCGGGTCCTTCCCAACCTCAGTTTCCCAAGCCCTACCTGTACACAGTTAACCTCACCCTCCCCATTTCCTCTATCTCCTTGTGCATTTCCACGGCCTTAACTCACGTTCAACTCAGTCTGCAGTCCAGACTCCTCGCCTTCCTGAAAGTCAAATCTGCAGAACTGCCAGCACCTCACATTTTCACCGTCCCTAGCTCCACAGAACTGCTTTCCCAGCCTCCCTGCTCTCCTGGCCTCAAAGGCATAGGGCCGCCTCCTCCCGCCTGACACAGACCTGCCAACCCTCCACCTCAGGGTCACTCTGACCTCACCCTCCTTGCTGGGTGACTGCAACTGCTTCCTAACTGGTTTTTCTGCTCCTGCCCTGGCCCCCAAACTGCTCAGGCTCCTCCCAGAATCCTGAGTGATCCTTCAAATCACCACACTCTCCTGCCTCAATCTTCCAATGGTTTCTGAGACGTGAATTAAAATCTAGACTCCATATATCATATATCCGACACAGCTGGATTCAAGCCCAGGTCCCGCCAACTCCTTTACCCACTTTATTACAGTGCCGTGCCACACGCCATACTCCCCATGCCCCAACCTGGCCCCGTCTCAGCGTCCAAGAGCTTTCAAGTCTCGCCCACCATTCGCCCATGGAAGCCACCTGGGTCGGGTCATCTGCTCAGCATCACGTGTTAAATCCTCATGTGGCGTTCCCAGGCAGACGGATCAGTAGGAAGCATGAAGCGGTAATAAGAGCAATGGAAACAGAGGACTTACTATTAACTGGGGGCTCAGCCTGCGTCCGCCACTGTGCTCAGTGCTGTGCACACATTTTCAGAGAGAAGTGTGTGGGGCGGTCTGAGCACTGACACTTAGCAGCTCTTACCCTGCGCTGAGCACTGTATGAGCACTTTACGAGGGCTCTTATTTCATCTTTGTGTCAGGCCACACTATCAGGCCCGTTTCACACATGAAGAATCAGAGGCAGGCAGATGTGAAGTACCTTGCCCAAGGTCACACAGTCAGAAAGTGGCAGAGCTTGGGTCTGAATCCAGGTAGTCAGGACTCTCAGGCACTGCATCCAGATTTGCATCCAGCACGATGAGATAAATAACCTCCTAACTGTAGGATCTCCGGCCAATATATTACTTCACCTCTTCCTGCCTCAGTTTCCTCACCTACACAGCTGCTGTGAGATGAACTCGGAGAACAATGGGGACGTGCACTTACTGAGCACGGGCCCCCAGTCTGAGGACGTGAACTAACCCAATCTTCCCGAGAGGGGGTCGCGAGCACCGCCGGGCACGTGGTAGGCAGGGAAGCGGCAGCATTTATTATTACTGTTACTTAACGTTCACGTCAACGCTACAGCACGCACACGTTCATCCCTGCTCTGTACAGAAAAACTATAAGGAACAGTTAGGTTAAGTAACTCACCTAACGTCACCAGCTGCTGACTGTTAGCAGTGCCAACCTGGCTCCATCCGCCTCCAGACCCCTTTTCCCAATCCAGCCCCCACCCCACGAGTGCCCGGCACAGGGCAGACGCTCACAAAACAATGTGTTAAATCCCCAATGAGGCCTCTCTAGCAGGAACCCCCCCTGGCAGCCCCCACTCCGCCCGGGCCCCGGGGCCCCACCTCCTTACCTGTCAGGAAGGGCAAAAGCTCACTGCGGGTCCTTTCCACCCCAAGGGCCAAGGCGATGGTGGACAGTTTCTTGATGCTGTTGAGGCGAAGCTAATGAGAGAAAAGAACAGCAGGGTCAGAGGATCTTAGCAAGCCCCAACTTAGGGGTGTGGGACAGCTCTGGATCCAGACAGCCTCTGGAAGCCTCACTAATGTGTGGAAGGAGGTGGAACGGGGACTTGGCACACACCGACCAGGTGCATGAGTCAGTAACTACAATGGTAGCCGCGGCCTCAGAAAAAGCATGTAATGAGTCTTACGGAGCCAACACTCATTCTGTGGTGCTTCCCACACTCTAAAACCACGCTTAGACCGCGCTCTAAAACCGTTCACTGCTTCCCCACACTCCCGATCCTCCTCCTCTGCTTTTGCCCCTCCTGCACTCAGCACCTGACAGGCTCCAAAAGGGGCGGCCACGTTCCAGCACGTTTACTCTGTGGTCCTAGGCCAGGCACTCACACGACAACCCTGAGGGCAGAGTTGTGGTAAGCCCCGTTCTATATAGGGGGAAACAGGCTCAGGGAGCAAAAGTCCCTTCTACAGGTCACACAGCTCACATGGCGTGGGGCAGGGACCGAAACCCAGGACCACCAGCTAGCAGTGATGATGACAGGACAAACAATATTACAACAACGCTGCTACATAAACAGTAAACTGTAAACTACAGTAAACTGTAATAATACCACTAGTGTAACAGGTTGAATAGCGGCCGCCAAAAGCTATGCTCCCGTCCTAACCCCAGTAATCATGAACGTGAAAACAGGGACTCTGCAGATGTAATGAAGTCAGCATCTCAAGATGAGATCATCTAATTCAAGGGGGAGCCCTGTGAAACAGAAAATATGTTTACTGGTCCCTGCCCCTGGTTCCTGCACAGAGCTCCTAAAACCCTTGCAACTTCCTAAGTGGTAAAAGCACTAAGAGCATCTTCCATTCTAATATTTGGTTTATGACCCTGATTCCTAACACAGAGCTCCTAAATCCCTTGGAATTTCCTAAGTGACAGGAATGTCTTTTGTTCTAATGAAGCAAATCTGGGTGGGCTCCTGGATGCGTGCTGGTCACCAGGAAGACCAAGCCACGGTCACAGCCGGGAACCTCCCATTACTGGGAAAGGGGCTGGAAATGGGAGCCGATGATCAATCATGCCTGCATGATGAAGCTTCCATAAAAACCCACAAAGTATAGGGTTTGGGGAGCTCCCAGGTTAGTGAACATATCCACGTACCAGGAGGGTGGTGCATCCCAAATGCAGGGGAACAGAAGCTCCTGTACTCAGGACCCTTCCAGACCTTACCCTGTAGGTAGCTCTTCATGTGGCTGTTCATCTGAATCCTTTAAATCTTTTATTAAATAAGCTGACAAATCTAAGTGTTTCCCTGAGTTCTGTGAGCTGTTCTGGCAAATGATCAAATGCAAGGACAGGGTCGTGGGAACCTCCAATTTGTAGCCAAGTCTGACAGAAGCTGTGGGTGACGTGGGGACCTATTACTCGCAACAGGCATCTGAGGTCGGGGCTCTCGGGGTACCGCGCCCTTAACCTGCGGGATCTGTGCTGACTCCAGTTAGTGTCAGAACTGAAATGCACTGTGGGACACCCAGCTGGTGTCACAGAGAACTGCCTGGCGTGAGGAAAACCTCACACGTGGTGTCAGAAGCGCTGAGTGTGGTAGTGCTTTGCTCTACACGGCCAATGACCGTGTCCCAGTGAGACAGAGAAGGAGACATGCAGACACCATGGGGGAAGATCATGTGAAGATGGAGGGTGAGACCGAGGCGACGGGTCCACAAGCTAAGGAGCGTCAAGAATTGCCAGCTGCTGCCCAAAGCCAGGAGGGAGGCATGAACTGAATCTTCAGAGCCTCCGGGAGGAGCCAACGCCGCTGAGGCCTTACTTCAACCTCTGGCCTCCAGAACGGTGAGAATCATTTCTGTTGCATTAAGCCACCAAGTGAGCGGTCACTTGTGGCACCAGGACTCTAACGCATCTGGCTAACACAGGAGCCGTCTCACACGGAGTACCTCCCAGGGAGGTCAGCATCCGACACCCCCTTCCCTCCCGCGGAGACCGGCTCAGAGAGGCGGACACATGCAGACGCGAGCGCTGGGAGAGCAGGGACCTGGCACGCAGGCCCGGAACGGAAAGCCCTCTCGGTCCTCCAGTTCCACAGGGGCTGTGGCAGAGTGAAGGGAGGTCACACGCGTGGGAGTGGAAGGAAACACCCTTGTGAATGAGTAAGCCACTGCCGGGCACCCAGAGGGCATCCTCTTCCTGGAAGGAGAGGCCGAGCAAGAAGGCACGGGGCTCCCCGGGCGGGTTCTTTTCCCAAAGAGGTCTGCCTGCCAGTGACTGCGATCCTGCATCGGTCCCCGGTCCAGGGGTTCAAAAGTCTCTCTGAGATTACAGACACTGGCGGGACTCTGAGGAAATGCTATGGCAGCCTCAGCTCTCAGAAAAATGCGCTCACAACTTCTCATACAATGTCACTGGGTTTTTGGATTTAATCTGGTCCAAACGCTCACCTCTCTGGCAGCAATGAACCTCAAGATTAAGCATCACGAGGCCTCCGTGTTATTTTTAGCCAAAAATTAAAACACATATAGAGACAGGCCAATAAAAACATAAAAGCAAAATATGGTAAACACTAACAGTTAATGAATATGGGTGGTAAATATAAACCTCTTCTGTAAATTGCCGGCAAGTGATTATTTTGAGCATTTTGGGCCACACAGTGTCCGTCCCAACTACTCACCTGTGCACTGGCACAAAAGCAGTCACGGAACCAGACGATATGCCAACAAATGGGCCAGGCTGTGTTCCCATAAAACTGCACTTGCAAAGCAGGCCGTGGGCTTAATGTGGCCCATGAGTTGTAGTCTGCTGGCCCTGGTACTAGCCTTTAAATGTTCTGTATGTTTGAAGTCTTCCATAATAAAATATCAGGGGGAGCACTGACTCAGTTGCCAGTTTCTTTCCACCTTGTTGCCTCCAAGTTGGATCTCTGGGTTTTTCTCTTGGCTGGGCTATGGGGAAATGTACAGGCGGGCCAGGGCCACACCAGGTGAACGGAAGTCCTGAGCACAAGGAGATGGTGGCAAGGAATGATCATATGCATAATGCCAGCAACAACAGCTGCTAATGTTTACTGATCACTTACTATGCGCTTAGTAGCCTTCAAGTGCTTGATGTGGAGAATTACCATATTTGATTCCTAGAAATGGGTTCTGAGGCAGGTATTGTTATTGGAATCCTCCTTCTAAGGGTAAGGATGCTGATGCACAGAGAAGCTGTCATTTGCCAGAAAGTAGCAGAGCCCAGGCTGGAAGCCAGGAACCCTGACTCTTAATCTCAACATCACTACAGTTAAGGAAAGACGCCCAAGGGGTGGACGCATGAGAACCGGTGCATCTCTGCCATGGGAGAGAGCCCCCTTCCCTCCTGCTGTCCCTGGAGATTCTGGTTTTGGTGTTGTTGAGAACGTCAGATTACTTTCTTCAGCACAGACAGCACCGTGAACACTCAAGAAAGGCAGCACGGGGTGGTGCTCTGGAGCCACACGGCCTGGGTTCAAGGCTAAGCAGCTTTGCATTATTAGCTATGGGATCTTGAGCCACTCTTTGCACCTTTCTGAGCCTCAATTTCCTCACCTGTGAATTGGGGATTACAACATCACCTATCCTCAGGTTACTGTGAGTGCCGAGTGACATATCCTGGGAACACCCTAGGACCAGCTAAGACAATAATGGCAGCTGTGTCCACTTCACCTGCTGTAGCACCTGATTTTGTTCAGGTTATCAAGAAGGGCTATGTGGCAGCTGGGTAGGTATCCACTGACGTCTCTCTTCCCTTCTCTTCGAGGGAGATATTTCCATGGTACATACTGTGTGCCAGGCACCGTTCTAGGTGCTTTCATGTCTTAACTCACTGGATCCTCACAACCACCCCAGGAGGTAAACACAGGATCACCCACCACATGACAGAAAACAAAGGCACAGGGAGGTTCAGTAGCCTCAGGCAGCTCAAAGGTGACAGAGCCAGGATGGGAACCCAGCTACCTGGCTCTTCACCAGAACCATCAATCTGTATTTCCGTGTTTCTCCTTTGGGGGTGGGGGTACCCTGAGCAGGTCTAATAACAACCACAATTCCAAAAGAGAGGAAAGCATAGACGACCCTAGAAATATCTGCGACAGCTGAAATGAGATGTGAACAGTCATGACTTCCACAGGCTTTGCTGACGCTATTTGCGCTCTGCTATCATAACACTACAGTTTGTAATAGAAGGAAAGGTAAACTGGAGTTCTAGGGTAGTGACAAAAAAGGCATTACTTTTCCCATCTGAATTCAGATGGGAATTCTCTGCTGGAATTCTAGACAGGCCCTGGGTTAAGAGCTCCTGCAATGGGCTACAATGCCTCTCGTAACCCCTGGGTTGCAGCTGTGCACACGATCCCCTCAAGACATTTCTGAACCGTGCCTGCATCCAACATGACTAGGAAATTAACGCCCAGCCAGTGAAATCCAAGCGGGAATGGTGTGTGCAACTTCTAGAAGTGTCCTTGAGAGGATCTGGGGTCACGCTCTTCTTCCGAACAATGTGTAAGAGCCTGAGACCCTGACACCACGGAGTGCCACACCAGCGTGAACTGCCATCAGGAGTCAAAAATAAACTTCAAGCTCATTTAAACTTCCTTTTGAATTTTCCTATGATTTACAGCCAAACTGAATCCCAATGAACTCAGCACATGACCTAGTTCTGGACAAGGAGCAAGTTGGCCAAGGAGCTTCCAAAAAAGATTTTCTTCCTCAGGAAATAAGGGAGAAGGACAGAACAAAACAAAACAAAACAAAACAAAACAAAACAAAACAAAACAAAACAAAACAAAAACAAACAACCCTCTCTGTCCTGGGTCGGCCCCTGCTTTCAGTGTGGTCTTGGGAGGACTTAATGACAGCAGACACTGCAGCAATCTTGTGACCCCACTAGGCAGGTCAAAAAACCAGCATACTCTGACCCAATTCTGTGATATCCTTGAGCTGCTGAACTCACT